ACTTTTAAGCATCACTAACTGCATAAATTGATTCTAATTCTTCCACACCACCATCTAACTAAGGGGAGCAATGCCTATAATGGTACTAATCAAAGAACTCAAAAACTACAAAAATTGCTTCCAGGCCGAGCTGGCATAACTACAACAAGCAAAAGGAGAGCAAAACACTAACGGAACAGCCAATTTCATCTTCCCTGTGGATTCACTATCTGTGAGAAGATCTCATTGCTGCTTGCTTCTGTCTCCCCAGCCTCCTCATCTATGCTCAATAATGTCGCATGCATAGCAAAGGCATCATTAGCCTTCTGTTCTGCCACGAGCTTTGAACTGTCAGGATTATCCTGAAGCTGGAGGGCAAATTCAAGATTCCAGAGCACCAACGCCATTGATGGCCTCTCACTCCCATGATCAGAGAGGCAATTCACTGCCGTTTCCAGAAACTTGTTCAAGCACTCAGAATTTATCTCTTCCTTAATATTCTGGTCAACAATGCTCCCTATGGTTCCCTTCCTATAGTTGCTTATTGCCCAGTCTGCCAAACTAACTTGTTCCCTGGGAAGGTGGGAATTAAGCACCGGCCTCCCACACAAGACCTCAAAGAGGACTACCCCAAACGAGTACACATCGGATTTCTCAGTCAATTGTTGTCTACGGAAGTATTCTGGATCTAAATATCCAAAACTACCCTTCACCACGGTACTCACATGGGTTTGTTCGCTTAGGATGGGGCCTGTTTTTGAAAGGCCAAAATCAGAAACTTTTGCAATCCACTTCTCGTCCAAGAGAATGTTTGTGGTCTTCACATCTCTGTGAATGATGGTGTACTTTGCGCCGGTATGGAGGTAGTGAAGCCCCCTCGCGGCACCAGTGCAAATTTCCAATCTTTGCTTCCATGATATAGGGGGATTGTTGCTCTGATAGAGATGCTCCCTCAGGGTTCCATTAGCCATGTAATCATAAACCAAGATCATCTCATTCCCCTCTTCACAAGCCCCTATTAGGGACACCAGGTGCCGGTGTCTCAACTTCGAAAGCAATTCAATTTCGGTTTGGAACTCGTGAACTCCTTGCTGGGAAGATGGGTTAGACCTCTTGATGGCAACCTTCGTCCCTCCATCTATAATCCCCTTATAGACCTTTCCGAAACCACCAACCCCAATAACCTCCGACTCGTCGAAGTTCTTGGTGGCCAATTTAATCTCGGCCAGGGAGAAATGCCTACATAGGCCACCTCCTAGGCTTGAGGCCCAGCTGCTTGTTCTGCTCTTACTGGACATTGTTGATCTTGTCCTTGATGACCGAGAGTTGGCATAAAGAGGTAACCAACTTGTCGAGTTGGCATTCCGATGGCCAGAAGACTGCTTCCTCTTGCGGTTGAGAAGGACCAGAACTCCAGCCACCATAGCAAAACAGCCCAAGCCACCGGCTATAGCACCAATTATTATTATTTTACCACCACGACCAGAATGCGAGGATGTGAAAACCCCTTTCTCTTCCTCAGATGAGACCTCCTGTTGGAATTGTGAAGGCGTGGGATTAGGGCCTGCCAAGTTTCCTTTAGTGTCATTCATCTTAAACACCTCCAATCCATTTAGAATTGCATCATAAAACTCTGGCTTCGAGGACACAGAAGGCTTTAAAGCCACCCAAAGCTCCTCATCACCTCCCTTATCGTTCATAAACACAGCAAAATCCTTGTAAACTGGAACACCCTGCTTCGAATCAGTCCAAGCCATCACGTCAGCAGCCTCCTGAGCCGTCTGATTATTGATCAAAATATCAAACACCCTTTGATTGATCTTTGAAACCTGGAATTCGCAGAAGTGGAGCCTCAGAAAGTAGGTGAAATTGGCATCAATTTGAAATACCCATGTGAGGTTATAGTTCAAATTGAGTTTTGCAGTTGGACCCATCGTTCTTGCAGTCATGTAGACGTCAGGTGGGGCAATGTACTTTGAGAGATTTGACGGGTACTGAATTGTGATATTCTTCTCTGCCATTGGAGTGATCCCAAATGCAGCACCAAACAAGTATGGAGAATCATCGTACCTGTTGTTGCACAGATAATAAAAATTATAAGAAGTTATAATTTGTGGGAAAAATAAATATAAAAATGAAATTTAAATAAAGATAATTGATAATAACAAGAAGTTTTGTATGGTGTTTCGCCAAAAAAAGAGAGAAAAAAAAAAAAACTTTGACATTATCATGAACTTAAATGAAAAATATTTTATTGAAACAAGCCGGGATAAAACAAAATCTAACATTACCAAACGCGGCTGAGACCGGAATCTTTAGTCTCCGGAATATACTGCCCACCAACGTTGAGCCTGAACATGGTCTGCAAAACAGAGCTCTCTGTTTCAATGGACTGATCGGAGAACCCCACCATAAACGCCGCAGAGAAAATCTCCGGCATTGGAATGAGCTCAATGCCGTTGATGAAAGCCAAAGAGCCCTCGTTTGATAAAGAAGGAGAGAAAGTGAGATTGAGAGAACCAGATTGAATGGGTATGAGAGAAAATTCTCTGACAATATAAGCTTGAGTTAGGGCTTGAGAGTGATTGAAGCACTGAAGTTGTTGAGAAGGGTGAACTCGTTGGCGGTGACGGAGAAATAGGAGGCGGAGGTGTTGAAATTGCTGTAAGAAGTGGGGTAGAAGTGCAGGCGAATCCAGTGGCGACGATTGGAGGAGAGAGAAAAGTTGTATGTGGATTGAGCTCTGAAAACCCTGGCCGTCATGTAGGGGATTGTGGAGGGGAGTGAAGGGTCCTGGACCTGCGCTGCCGCCTCCGTGGAGTTCTCCGGAGAGAGGAGATGTTTGGCGTCCGTTACCCAGTTCCGGCCTTCGGCGTCGGTATCGGAGTCGGAGCTCCCGCAGTTAAAAAGTAGGGCGTCGGTATCTGACGCATTGGGCAAAGCAAGGAGGGTTATCGAAAATGAAGCGAAGACAAGAAGGAGAAAAATGATATGGATATTGAAGATCATGGATAACCAGTATTTCCCTTTTTAAGGGCATTAATATTTTCGAGGGAAAGTGAAGGAAATTTTATATTTGGCATGGAGGAGAACAGGAGGAGGAGAAACAGGGGAGGAAGAAGTCGAGGGAAAATATATTCCGAAGGGAAAAACAAAAACGAGTTGAGTATTGAATATCATAGCCAATGAAGAATAGCCATTTGAGCAATGATATGGGGGTTAGAATTTTCACGAGAAAGTGACGGAAATTTTGGCAATGCAGGAAAAGAGGGGAAGGAAAAACGGGAGAGGAAGAAAACGAAGGAAATCGCATTCCTGAGAGAGGGAAAGATGATAACGACACCCTTCATTAATCCAGAGCGTCTTTCGTTCGGAGAAAAACATACACAGATTCACAGACCCACCATAACTTTTGATTGGTTAAACATGAAAAAATAACAGAGAGATCATGACCCAATTGTGCCTTTCCATTCGAATCAATGCGTAATTCCTTTTTTGCTTTTTTTGTTTCTTTGTTTGATTGTTTGTTGGAATTGAAGAAATGGGAAGAATCAGTTTCAGAGCTCAGACAGCCTCTGATGTAAGGGTAGGAGTTTGTTACAGGGGAGGGGTGGTGAGGAGGGTAACGGCAAATGGAGGGAAAATGAGTTTCTTCGTTAAGCATTAATTGATTTTATTTAAGAGTTGCTCTATTGTAGCAGTTACAAAATATGCAATTTGGATGACTGTATTAATACCATGATGCAATATGACGGTTTGCGTATAGGACAAGTAGTTTATTTAATTTTTTGAAAATTTTAATGGCTAATTATCTACTAATTCAAAAAAAGGGGTTAGTTTATTTTTAACTTTTTTATAACTTAAAAAGGGTTAGATTTCAATTTTTGTCAATTAGGTCTTTTAGTTTAAAATAATTAACAGTAAGAAATTGCACAAAACCCTATTTATAACCTTAACGTACCTTAGAAAATTTAGATTTTTTTTTAAAATCAAGCACAACCTAAAATTGCTCTTTTAGGTTAAGAAACCACTGTGTCATCCCTCACAGTTGAAAAATCTCTTCCCTCCTATTTTTGGCTTTTGTCACTCACTCAAACATGTGGAACAGTAGGGCCCTGGCTTGGAGGTGGCCTGTTGTTGTTTGACCTACTACCTTCGGAGCCATTGGACCAATTTTTTTGATCTAGAGTGCCGACGTTAAAATTGGTGGACTTCTAGAAACCAAATCGACCCAAAATCAAACTCAAGAGAATCGTCTAGACCGAGAGGCCCGATTTACTGTGTAGTTGAACAATAAAGCCAACAATGTTCAATTACAAAAATAGAGCATTATGGGAGAGGAAGACTTGGGGAATAATGAGTCTGTGTAAAGGGAAGGGCAGGAGAAAGGGAAGAGTAGAAAGTAAGCTATTGCCACTACCACTGCCCTTGCCCTCGCCTCGACCCCCACCCTCACCATGGTTATCGCTGACATTTTTACTTTAACTGTTATGCTACCACACAAGAAAAAGATAGAAAGAAATGACAAAAATAATTATAAATTAAGAATTAAGGAAAATATGTGGAAGTAAAATTTTTTAATGTCATTTTACTATAACTTTTATTTATTTATAATTATATCATGGAAATTAAAAATATTCATATCTCAGCTAAAAAAACAATTTTGATTAGTTTAATAAGCAAAATTATAAATTATAAATTAATTTGCAAACACTTCATAAATAATTTCTTCGCTCGCAAGAAACCAACGTCCCCGCTCCCCCGGGGAAAAAAGAGAACAAAACAAAACAAAACCCATGGTAATAATCATTTTAAGGTATGCCAACAAAGTGGGTGTCATACAATTGTTTGCCAACACGATAATAAAGCCATCAAACGGGCAAACAAAATATTAAATAAAACCTTTTCTTTCCTTTTGTCATTTTCCTTTGCTCACAATTCCATTTCTTCCCCAAGCATCTTCTCACTTCATCTATAGATCCCAAACACATTCAATCTCCAAGCCGTACAGAAGAAAAGCCATGTCCTATCTCCTCAAAGTTGCCTTCAACTCCTTCCCTCTCCTCGCTCTTCCTCTACTGTATTGGGCCTGGGTCCGGCATCGGCGCGAGCCCAAGCAAACCAACCTTGTCTTCCATGTGCACGAAAACTTTAGTGGCCATGATACTTCCGCCACCACGGTGGCCGGAACAAATGGGCCGACCTCAAACATCCTGAAGTTTGGAACAATCGCAGCCGTGGATGACCCTGTAACGGAAGGCCCGGATCCAAAATCGAGAGAGATCGGGCGGGCCCAAGGTTTGTACATCAACACTCAGCTGGATGGAAAGGGGCTCCACCTAGCATTCTCAGTGATCTTCACTGGTGGAGAATTCAAAGGGAGTACCCTGGAGATCCAGGGGCCGACTTGTTCACTATGAAGGAGAGAGAGTTTTCTGTGGTTTCGGGTACGGGTCATTTTCGGTTCGTGAAAGGATATGGGATCATGACAACTGAGTTTTTGGACATTCCTAACTTGAGGGCTATTCTTAAGCTGAATATAACTGTCAAACACTATTGAAAATGCCAACTTTGCCATCTGTTGTCCAGAAAATTAGCCCAAGTTTTACTGTGTATAACAAATTTAATTACCTATCTAACCCTGAAGATGCCTAATCTGCCTAAAACTAGTTATATCTTGATTACTGATGTGTAGTCTAATTAGTGTATCCTTGTATCAGTATGAATGGTGCAATTCCTGTGCTTCTTCTTTGCCCGTAGGCAGCTTTCATGCAACAAAAAGGAAATGTATTCTGTAATCTTCTTCCCAAAATGAATGTGTTTTTTCCTTTTATCTATGTATATCCTTCAAAGATATTAGCACACTTCTCTCTGTTATCAAGGATGTTAATCCCTTTACTTCACTGACAAAGTCTCTTATACTTCATTGATAGAAATCCTACTAGGGAAAGATGTGAAGGACAGAAATTGGCATGATAGATTGAGACACCCTTTTGTTTTGACAATCCAGTCTATCACCTATGATTACTTTACCCAATTTATCATGGTCTAACTCAAAATGCCATGTTCAGGTTGAAACCTCAGAAATGAGATTCGAGACGGAGGCTTGGATGCATGAATAACATACGCAATAATTGAAAGGATTTGATCCAATGACAGATTGAGTTCTTATTTATGTCTTATCAAGCATTTTTAAGAGGAAAATAAAAAGGAAAAGAAGAAATAGCTTAGAATCTGTATTTCATTTAAGTCGGTTGACAGACTTGGGCTGGCTCTACAAGGTTTGGTATACACGAGTGAGGGAAATGTGACCAGAGTTATAACTACTTAATTGCTCGAATTAAGATGCAAAGCCCCAAACCTAAAAGGGTCGATGATCTTTTATAATTTCAACCTCAAAGAAAGCCAAAACCTTCATCCTCCAACCTGGGTGACTTCTCTTATCAGAAGAACAAAGAAGGGGACAAACTTTCTTCCTGTGTTACTGTTACAGCTCCCTTCACATGAATCATTCTGTTTGTTTCTTCCGGCCTAAATATTCTTCAAGAAGATGAACCGATCAAAAGTTCAGGAGGCAATTTTTCTCAATCAAGATTCTCCTACAAGCAAACCCACCCCCCCCCCCCCCCCAAAAAAAGGTAAAAAATTAAAAAAAAAAAAAGAAAAGGAAGAAAGAAGGTAAAGACAAAGGAAAAGACAAAGGAAAACGGGTGAAGCAGGCAATAGTCAAACAAAGCTTTGCGTAGCCTGATCGTAGGAAGAATCAGCGCAATGTTTAAGAATCTGATTCAATAAATACCACCATTGACGAACTGTTCTTAGCTTGAAATCCTTTTAATTACCAATTATAACATGCTTTCTTTCTTGTTTCTATATTGCAGAAAATAGGAAAGGAAAAAGAAACAGAAAATTGGGGTGACATGTTGCACTCAAGATTTCATAATTCCTTTATCCTGGCTTGGAAAAAATGGCCACATTTGCTAAGTTAAGAATGAGTACAAACATAATAGAACAAAATTAGCAGCCAGACAAACGGCCATAAGTAAGAATGTTGCGACACAAATTTGCCTTCTTATTCATCTGGCCTAGTAGGTAGCCTCTCCAAATGACATTAATAATAAGAAAGAAGAGCCACAGAGGATGAGAAAGCATTAGAGAGAAAGAACAGTGTTCTCATCTTATGCTGAGTTGGCAATGTGACTTTACATACGAGGCACAGATAGTAAACCCAAAAAGGATGGCAAGGTTTCGGATTGAGGGAGCATTCTTACCAACTTGTGCTGCTTTGACTGTATAAATTTTACATAAACTTCGACAGAAAATCATATGTAAGCAGGGGCAGAGCTACATTTTGGCTAGCTTAGGCACATACCCCTCAAAATTTTCTAACTACATTTGGTATAGTACTTGGTTAGTATAGAATGCTTCTGTACTCCTGAAAATTCTACACCTATTAGATCCATATTCTTTAATTTTTAGAATTTATGCGGGATGTGCCGACAATCCTTAAAGTTCTGACTCTGCCAATTCATAAACACTTGACTTGATCGTGTCATCTAACTCAAATTTTTGATATGTATGATCGGTGATTGAATTGAGTGCAAACCCGAAATTCAGATTTAATCGATTTTGACATCAATGTAAATAGACTTTATGATGTTGATACAAATTGACAGATACATATATTACATGACAACTTGCGCATCTTTATTCACTGTTGGGTTGGGTCCAACAATGTTGGGTCGGGTCCAATAATGAATGATGAGATAACGTGATCAGCAATGAGTAGGCCGGGGACAGCTGTCGGTCAACACAATTTTGAATTTAAAAGGAAACCACGTTACTTCCTAGTGTTCATATTTAATTTTTTCTCTTTTTTTTAATAAAATTATACTATATTAATTATTTTTAATTTTTTAATATTAAAATTAAAATCATATTTTTTGATATTAATATTATTACTTCGATTTTATTTGATTTTAGTATAATTCGATACGATTTTTACAATTTTTTAATTATATTAAAATATCTAAATAAACTAACAAAAAAAATTTTAAAATCACACAAAAAAAAATTTAGTATATAACTAATATGAAAAAATTAAATTATTTCAAGATTATATAATGTTAATAATTTCTTACATTAAAGATTTAATTTCAAAACTTTTATTAATAATCATCTATAATTTTATATCCATGATCTTACGATATATTAGAAACAAATTAAAAATCATATAAAAATAATGAAAAGGTTAATTTTGTTTAACCTAATTTAATATAAACTTTTAATCAATTTAATTAAAAACCTATCATTATTAGATGATTTAATTAACTTGCATATAATATAAATACTTTAATTAATAACTTATAATCCAATTATTTAGAAATTTAATAATTTTATATATAATATAAATAATTTAATAAATTATTATGCATAATATATGAGTATGGTATAATTTAAACTTTAATTTTATTTTTCTTTAAATATGTATTCATTATTTTACAATTAATTTTTATTGATAGTTAAAATATAAAATTCAACGATTTCAATTTTAAAAATTGAAATTTAAGTTTCAATTATTTTTATTTATTTGGTAATAGTATTTTTTTAAAATTTAAGATTTTTGATAGGAAAAAAAATTCAATACTTAGTACAAATTTCTTTATATATAACTTTTTTCTAGAACTACTTTTAGATCTGTTAAGGAAACTTTTTATTTATTTATAATGAAAAGTGTATTTAAGAAATTTTTTTCTTTTTAAGTTAAAACTTATCATATGTTAGGTAATTTATGAAATTTAAATTAGATTGGTAAATGATTCACTATATTATAACACAAATTTAATAATAAAAGAAAAAATAAAAAAGAACGATCTCATTTTTTAATAAATATATAAGTTAATAAATTAGTTGTAAGTATACAAGATATTTATTAGAATCCTTTTTACACTTTAATTCATAATATTTATACTTCTTTTTCATAGAAATCCTTAACCTTTTAATTTCTTTAAGTTACTATTGAATTATATTTAATACTTTGAAATTTAATCATTTTACATATGATATAAATAATTTAATAAATTATTATATATAATATTTAGTTCGGTATAATTTTTTGTCAATTTTGAATTTATAAAACTAAAACTATTTAAAATATTCGGTACGGTATTACTTAATATTAAAATCTATAAATTTTATTAAAAAATCTAATTTTCAATACAGTATAATTTAATTCGGTATAATTTTAAAAATCATGAACACCACTGTCTCTTTCTAATACTTTCTGGTATTCAAGTCTGGTCACCTGGGCATGGGAGGTAAAAATTTAGTAACAGTTCCACTTTAAGGAACCGTTTGGGTCTTGTTTCGCATTCCATTTATTTATATTTTTTAACGAAGCAAATATTTTAACCTTTGGTAGTTGTTTGCTTATTATCTTTGAAGAGTCTGGACTCCAGAGTTATCCAATAAATTGATTAAATTAATAAAATTATAATTTGATTTAGTTTTAATTTGATTTAAAAAAAATTATAGGTTTAATTTGATATTTATATTTAGATAAATTATATAAATTAAATCAAATTATATAATTTATATATATACAATTTTAAAAAATTTATTTTTATATATATAATATATTTTTATTATTTGATTATATATATTTTTTTGTTATTTTTTATATTTTTATTTATGCTAATGATTGATTATTTTTTTTAAAAAATGTGATTTTTATTAATATACGTGAAATTCTGTTATAATATATAAATATATTTATTATATAATATATAGTTATTGATAGATAATAAATTTGTTAAATTAAATAAATTAAAAAAAATGAATGGTCAATATTTTAAAAATTATTATCTAAATTTTTATAAAAATAATAAATTTAATTATTTTATTTTGTAAATTATAAATTATATTTTATAATTAAATTAAATTATCAATCGTGATTTGCCCTGGTTAATAAAAATTAAAATTATAAAAATAATTTAATTTGAATTTGAAATCAACCGATCTACATCCTACTAGGCTCTACGTAAGTGCTGAGCTCTCTTTCTTCCAAGCGGGGAACCGGGATCATCTTGTAAAATTATTTATATATATATTTATATACACATATATAATATATATATAGAGAGAGAGAGAGAGGAAGAGAGAGGGTAGCAGTTTATCCAGGTAGTTTTGCCTGTTCTAATTCATTCCTAGCGAGTGCTTTCTAATATATAAATAGAAATAGATAACAGGGGAAAGAGAAAGGGATCAAAAGATACAATAATGGAGGCCGGCAAGTTGCACATAATGATGTTCCCATGGTTGGCATTCGGTCACATTATTCCATACTTGGAGCTCGCCAAGCTCATCGCCGGCAAGGGCCATCGCATCTCCTTCATCTCCACTCCCGGAACATCGACCGCCTTCCCGAACTCCCCCAGATCTCTCTCCCCTCATCACACTCATCAAGCTTCCTCTTCCACCTCATGCCAATCTCCCCAAGGTGCCGAGTCCACCACCGACATCTCCTACGACAAGGTCAAGCACCTCAAGATCTCCTACGACGGCCTCCGAGAACCCTTTGCTCAGCTTCTCCGATCGTCCTCTCCCGACTGGTTGTTCTTTGATTTTACTTCTTACTGGGTACCGACCGTCGCCGCCGAGATTAGTATCCCCACAGCATTCTTTTTCATATTCAACGCTGCTTTCTCCGCGTTTTTGGGACCTGTCCCTGTGCTGATGGGAACTGAAGATTACCGCACCAAACCAGAGGATTTCACTGTCGCGCCCAAGTGGATTCCTTTTAAATCAACTCTAAGGTATTTGCCCTTTGAGATCGCACGCATTTTCAACGACAGTGTCTCAGGTAAATCTACGGAAAAGGCATTAATTCAACACGAGGAGAACTGATTTATATGATTTGTCAATACTTTGATGCAACATCTGTAAAATATTCAATTTGACTTGCAGGGAATGACGAAAATATTTCGGATATTTTTCGCATTGGAGCCGCCATTAAGGGATGTGACCTGGTGCTCCTCAAGAGCTGTTCCGAGTTTGAACCCGAATGGTTTAATCTCCTGGAAGAGCTTCACCAGAAACCGGTAATTCCAACGGGGTTGCTTCCTGTCACGCCGGATGACGGCAGCGACGGTGGCGTTGGGTGGAGGGAGATCAAAGAGTGGCTTGATGAGCAGGGGAAAGGGTCAGTGGTGTACGTCGCATTCGGCAGCGAGGCAAAACTAAGTCAGGACGAGCTCACCCAGATCGCGAATGGCTTGGAGTTATCCGGGTTACCATTCTTTTGGGTGCTGAAGAAGCTATCTGGATTAGGCGATGGAGATGAGCAAATCGAGCTCCCAGATGGGTTGGAAGAGAGAACAAAGGACGAGGAATGGTGTGGACGAGCTGGGCGCCTCAACCCAAGATACTAAGTCACGACTCAGTCGGTGGATTTTTGACTCACGGCGGCTGGGGTTCGCTGGTGGAGGGGATACAATTTGGGAGAGTCCTGATACTGTTGACCTTCTTGTCCGACCAAGGCATAAATGCTAGGATTATGGAGGAGAAGAAGCTGGGTTATTCTATTCCTAGAGATGAGTTGGATGGTTCGTTCACCGGGAACTCAGTGGCTGAGTCGCTGAGGTTGGTGATGGTAGAGGAAGGAGGACAGCCATACAGGGACAAGGTAAAGGAGATGAGCAGACTGTTTGGTGACAGGGATAGACAAGACCGCTACGTGGATAATTTACTGGCTAATCTTCAAAATCCTAGATGGGTCGGGTCAACCCGAACATCGAATTCCAAGACTGTGTAGCCCCTTTGTTTTATTTGCTGATGATCCTTATTTAAGTGAAATAAATTGTCCAATAACTCTATAATACTGGCTTAAATTTTTAGCACGTAACACGTTGGAGCATTGAGATCTGAGTTGTTAAGAGATCTATGCAAATAATATTAATTAAAATAACTAAAAGTCATAATTGTATACGTACTCTGTAGTGGTCATTTACTTTATTATTAAACACATTAATTAACAAAATAAATCAATAAATTTTATTATTTCAGAAGTTGTCAGTTCTATGGGAGGTAAAAATAATTTTTTAAATAAAAGATATAATAAAAGGGTGAAATTACATTATATAAATAACCATTTCTTATTGTTACCATTATTGTGAACTCCAATTTAAAACAAATTTCAAAATTTCGTAAATATCTTATATTCTCTCTCTTTCAATCCAAATAAGGATAATTTTGATAAAATATAAAATCTATTAAAATTAAACTATTTTGTTGTCAAACCTCACCTCATTTAGTGAAAAAATAAATTTAAACTCTTGTAGTGTTACTCTTCTCTGACCTTCTAAGATCAGCATTTGAAATCCCATAAAGACAATCTAGAAGAACATGACTCTAAAGACACCCCTAATGGAGGTTCCATTTGCAAGAGCACAAAAAAAATATCACACCAAGAGTGAAGAGGAGATAAAGAGTGGGAAAGAGAAAGCTTCAGCCATGTTAAAGTTTTTAAGGTTCATCACTTACTTGCCCAATCCTGATGCTTAGGAGGCTTCATTGCCTCATATTTTTGTGTTTGTGTGTATATCAATGAATGGTTTGGGCATTAGTCGCTCATGTTCAATCGACAGCAATTAATTACCAAGTAAATTCGTTTCTTAAATCCCAAGTCAATCTTGGAAGTTCAGAATTATTTTCTATCTTCACAGATTTAATTCTCATTATGGTAAACCTTGCACTACACTTTCAACAACGTGTCAAAATTTGTTGGACCATACTGAGTGCAACGAAGAATTTAACATCCAAACTTCATAATGCCTCATATTAAATTGCCTGTTGTTTTGGGTTCATCATTGTAGTTCGAATGGTTTGATTTTTTTCTCTATGAAACTCCATTTTGTAGAGGTGAGTAGGATGCAGTGAGATCCTTTTAGATGTCTTGGTTGACACAAAATGCATCAAAAAATTCCTTTGAACAATACTTTCCATCTCGGCCTAGTTTGAGAATTTTGATAGCCCTTCTAATTTCATTCTCCTACAAGAAATATAAGTTTTCCAAGCATAATCATCGGTAAAAGTGATAAAATAGCAATTAGAGGTTAGAGTTATCGGTCCATCGATGTCAAAATGGATTAGCTCTAACATTTTTGTTGCCTTCCATGACTTTCTTTAAGGGAACTGTGAATAAGATTGTTTGTCAACAACACAATCCTTACAAACTTGTGAATGAGCTATAATCTGAGGAAAACCTCCCACCATATTATTCCGTTGGAAAATTTTCAATCCTCCAAAATCCAAGTGCCACGCTGAAAGTGCCATATCCACAAGGGATTATTCATCGTACTTAGAAAACATAATGAAGCGTGTTCAAGTTTTAAGAGAGCAACCTATTTGAACTCATCTTAATCACAACAATCGTTCATTTTCTAGGATTATATATCTCACAGACTCCTTTTTATAAGGTTATTACACACATTTTTATTGCAATTGTCCAACACTCTTGGTAAGGATATAGAAGACGTTGGAGATGGCTTCCACAAAACCATTCTTGGCAAAGATGTTAATATTAACAACTAAAACAATATCAATAAAACAAATGGTTGAATGAAAGCCTTCATTTAAGTGAGAAAAAAGTGACTTACTTCTGCACATGTGATTACCATATCCCATATCCACGTGCCAAACATTTGTCTCGAAGGTGGCCATCAAAATAGTTCCAACCTCATGCTCCTGCAGCTGTTTTGCAAAGTTTGTTATCTCTCTTATTTCTTGGTTGTTAGGCAATTTGGTATAACATTCAAAATAGTAAATGGCCAAATCGGAAAGTCATACCGTGCTTTCTAAAACTCTATTCTATTGAGGCGAGTAGGCCACGATGAGTTCCCTCTGAATGCATCAAATTCCTTTGAACAATACTCTCCATCCCAATCTGTGCGAGAATTTCTTGTAGGAGAAGTCATATGCTTTTAGCCTATTCAAAAGTTTCAAGACACAAGTAGAGAATAAATCCAAGTTTTCCAAGAATAATCATCGATAAAAATAATAAAATAGTAATCACCACTTTTAGAGGTTGGAGTTATCGACCCACAGATGTCCAAATTAATCAACTCTAACACTTTCTTCACTCTCCATTACTTTTCAACAACACAATCCTTACAAACTTGTGAGTGAGTCACAATCTGAAGAAGACCTCTCACCATATTCTTCCATTAGAGAATTTTCAATCTCCAAAATTCAAGTGCCATAGCCATGGGAGGATTTTTTATCTCACTCAGGAAACATGATGGAGTGCACTAAAGTTTTAAAGGAAACAACCTATTTAAACTCATCTGGATGACAGTAATAGCTCTTCTTTACCAAGATCGACGCAAATATGTAAAGAAAGAAACTCTCAACATTGAACTAGCAGCCAAAAGACTACTTTAGCACAAATCATTATAAGGTTAAATTGCACGAGTAGCAAAAGACCACTTTGGTTGGCTAGGCTAAGGATAACTCAAACATTTAAGTAGAGGTTAATTAAGCAATTCTTAATCAAACAACTTTTATAATTTCAAACGATTTGATTTACAAAAAGCCTTAATGGGCTTTTTATGGGCTGGATGGAAAGGAAAAGTTTTTTTCTTTTCCAATGTGGGACAAAAATTCAAGAAGAAAACAACTTTCTTTCCTATCCAATGTGGACAAAAATACAAGATCATAAAGGAGGTCTAAGTTCTGCTTCATTCTCCCCTACGTTGGACACGACCCATTCTCAAGGCAAAACTATTCCTCATTTTCTCTATAGTAAGGAGAAAGATCTGTAAGCAACTAAAAACTCCATGTTCTCTAAGTAGCTCAATCTTGTGAGCATTATTATTAATTTTCTTCAACACTCGAAATGGACCATCTACGCAAGGAGACAATTTTGTCTGAGAACTAGGGCAACATTCTTTCCTCAAGTGAATCCAAACAAAATCTCCTTCCTTGAAACTAACAAGCCTTCTATGCTTATTGGCCTACCTTTCATAATAGGTAGTCTAGCAAGTCATCTTATTGCAAACTTTTTCATGGAGTTTTTTAATCTGCTTGCCACATTCTTCTAGATCTGTAGTAATGGAAGGAGATTTATAGGACTAAAAGGGCATTTTTCATAGACTATTTCAAATGGTATTTTCCAATGGTCTGACTAACAGAATTGTTGTAAGAGAACTCCATGAAACTTCATAATAAATTTTTTAAACTTTTGTTGACTACTTTAGTTTGACTATCAGTCTTAGGATGACTTGTGGAGTTGAACTGTAGATGAGTTCTCATCTTCCTCCATAGAGTTCGCCAAAAAATGACTCAAGAACTCCACATCTCGATCAAAAGTGATGATTTTTGAAATTCCATGAAGACGCTCAATTTCTTTGAAGTATAAGTCAGTAATGTGAGAGAAACATCATCTGTCTTATGGCATGATATGAAATGGGCCATCTTAGATAATCTATCAACGAACACCATCACACAATCTTTTTGTTGTTGGGTCTTAAGCAATTCCAAAATAAAATTCATGCTCACGTCTTCCCAAAGAGCTTTGCGAATCGACAATGATTTATACGAACTAGTGTTTTGATTTCCAAACTTAGCAACATGACAAGTGTGGGACCTTTGGATATGTCAAATGACGTCTCGTCCCATCTTGAGCCAATAACATTTTTCTTGCACAAGAACTAAAATCTTGTCTTTTCCAAAGTGTATAGCTAATCCTCCATTATGAGCTTTTCAAAAATAATAGATGAATGGAAAGAACATTAAGGGATGCACAACTAGCTACCCTTAAAGAGAAATCTTTCCTAATGATGACATTGTTGACAAAGGCAATGAGAACTGAGATGCCATATTTCTCCATAATCAGGTCGTCTTCATATAGCTCCCACAACTTCAAACCCAGCAACCTTCATTTGTAAGATAGAGAGTAGAACAATACGATAACTTAAAGCATTAGCTACCTTATTTTGTATGACAATACAATGAAAGTTGTCAAATTTGAAGTTGTAAAGGAGTTATATGAAAACGACCTTGATTATGGAGAAATATGGCATCTCAGTTCTCACTGCCTTTATCAACAGTTTCAGTAGCAAGAAGGATTTCCCTTTAAGGATAACCAACTCTGTATCCCTCAATATTCTTTACATTTGTCTATTATTTGGGAAGCTCATAATAAATGATTAGTTGGACACTTTGGAAGAGACAAGACTTTAGCTCCTGTGAATGAGAAATTTTATTGGCACAAGATGGAATGAGATGTTATTTGACATATCCAAAGCTGCCACACTTGTCATATTGCTAAGCTTGGAAATCAAATTATTGTCGATCTTTAAAGCTCACTGGGAAGATATGAGCATGGATTTTGTATTGGGATTGCCTAAGACCCAATGACAAAAGGACTTTGTGATGGTGGTCATTGATAGATTCTTCAAAATGATCCATTTCATACAATGTCACAAGGCCAATTATGCTTCTCACATTGTTGACTTATACTTCAAAGAAATTGTTTGTTTTCATGAAATTCCAAAAACTATCACTTTTGATCGAGATGTGAAGTTCTTGAGTCATTTTTGGCAAACTCTATGGAGGAAGATGGGAGCTCATCTACAGTTCAGCTCCGCAAATCATTCTCAAACTGATAGTCAATTGAAATAGTCAACAAAAGTTTGAAAAATTTATTAAGATACTTCGTGGGCAAAGATTTTCTTTAATGGGATCTTGTGTTAACCCAAGTGAAGTTCTCCTCTAACAATTTTATTAGTGAGACCACTAGAAATGCCCATTTGA